CAGTCCGGCCCGCAGCCCCGAGCCCTCCGCCCTGTTTCTCCTCCCGTCTGGGTTCCTGTCTCGCCGCCTGCGTGCCCTTCCCGAGCTCAGGGTGGGGAGGTCAGCGGCGCCCTTCCTGCCGGTCCCTAGGCGTCCGCGCCGGGCGGGGCGGGGAACTTGGTCGTCCAGCCTCGTCAGGCTCCCCGGGAACGGGAACGGGCGGCCCGGCCCGGCCCCGAGGGCTGCCAGAGGTTGGAGGCGGGGCCGTCAGCTGGGCCCCGGGAGGCCGCTTAATGTTAGCGAGGTCCGCCTTCCTCCCTCCAAAAGGCTGGGAGTCTCTGGCCTCGGCCCGGCGGGGTCCAGCTTGGTGCTCCTGAAACGGGCTCTTGGTTGAGAAAGCCCCCCACCCCCCGTCCCAGACATCTCTTTCCAACGTGCTTGTTTTTCCTCAGCAGCTGCGCAGACCTGTGGTAACTAGTTAACTAATTCAACAAACGGACCCTTCTGTGTGTCAGAAACTGCAAGGAGTTGCTAGCCCAGTGAGGCAGACGGATTGAACACTGGGAAAGTCCAGGTCCAGAACAGTGTGGTGAGTGCTGTGCTGGGAGGGAGTACCAGGCTGTGGCTCCTTGGTAGAGGACAGGTGCTTCAGGCCAGAGGGCTTCCTGGAGGAGGTGATCTATGAACTGGAACTGGTCAGAGGGAAGGTTGAATAAAGGGGAACAGCGCGTGTGAGTGGGAGCAGACGTGGGCACTCCAGTAGAGGCAAGGTGAGGAGGAAGGGACATTTAAGGGGATGGCTGCCCATGGACCCTATCCACAAGAGTTTCAAGTGAGAGGGCAGTGCCTGGTACTGTGTCCTGCTCAACATGAGCAGGTATCAGGGCACTTCCTACTTCAGGACACTTGGGCCCCTGGCCTTGTATTCTAATGTGACATCTTTAGGATGGTGTAGAACATTCGTGTGCCTCCCAAGACTGAGGCTGGTGTCTTCTGCTGTACAGGGACACCTAAGGCTTGTGCTTCTTAATGTGAATTGTCTGAGACCTGAGAGCCTCAGCCCCCTTGCAGGAGCTCCTGGTTCTGAGAGCAAGGGTTGGGGCACATCATTTTGTAACTGAGGACATTCTTGCATGTCCCAGATTTTGCCAAGATCCGCTGTCCACCTAAAAATTTGTAGAATGTTTTTGCAAGCTGCTACTGCAGCTTCTCACCCTGTATCACATCTGGAACAACAGGTTCCGTGATTTAGTTCTCTGTTAAATGAACCGAGATCTCCTTTGGCCTGTGCTTAAACTGCCCCTGAAGTGTCTAGGGTGCAGTCTCTCACTGTGGTTCCGGGACTCAGAGCCCAGCTTCTTCTGTTGACTTCAACACGCTCGCAGGAGTGTGCTTTGAATCCTTTTCTTCTAGGGCTTTCTTATTCTCCGATGGCCAAGTATGTCCACTGTGCGGCCCAGCCAAGGAGGCCACGTAGCAAGGATGGAGTGAGTTGGCTGGGGGCCTCATCCCAGAGATGCTGTCATGTTGGGCCACCCTCGTTCTCTGAGAGCTCAGCAGGCAGACATGATGACAACTAGGCATTGCGTGTGACTTGTGATAGGCCCTTTTACCCAGTAGGAGGCTCTGAAATGGGGTTCCTGGGAGAGTGCTTACTTAGCCACTGCTTTAGCCTGTACACAGCTGATCTCTGTTCATTCCTTGTGCCTGGCTTCTGCTTGGAGTGTGCCTTGGGGTGGAATTAGGAGGGAGAGGAGGAGGGGAAGCTGGTGGTGATGACACTGTCCTTGCTCGTGGGTAGCTCATAATCTCCCCGAGATTGCTGCTTCAGGCTGGCAGCTGGCCATGTGGCAGAGGAGGAGCTCAGAGTGTGAATACTCATCAGAAGGAGAGACTGTGTGGGTGCAGCCCTGAGGAATGACTAGGGTGAGGGAGTCTGGGGTGTACTCATTTCCTGACAGAGCCTCGCTTTTTACTCTGCCCTCCCTCGTCCATGGGAGGTTCTGAGGCTGGATGCAAGACCTTGGCCAATTTGTGGCCACGCTGGCCGATAGTGTACATTGGGCTGGTGGGTGTGTCCTGGCTCTTGGGATCTGTCAAGAGTTTAATTTTATGCAGATGGTCATTGGCAAGAAATGCTCTGATGCAGGCACGTGCAAGCCTAGACAGAATGCTAGAGCAAGAGTTAAACTGAGATTGCCTGAATCTAACAGTTTGGACTTTTGAAGTGCCCCAGAGTGGGACATCAGCCTGTCTTAGAGTGAGAGGGCCAGTGCTCCTGTGGTGTCTGGGGTTTTTGGTGGCGGTGTGGACTGAAGGATATAGTTTTTATTCTCAGAAGGGGGAATGAAAAGTCTAGACTAGACTTCTTGGAGCCCTAGAAGAGAGTTTTTGTTCAAGTGGTGTCGTTGCCTGGCAGAGGATTAAGTATTTGGGGAGTGAGTTCTCCAGCTCAGATTGGATCTGTCTGAGCCTGTTCACAGACCAGTACGTGCTCTAGACCTTTCAGGAAGTGCTTGCTAGAGTAGAGCCTGCTCCGTACCTGGCACTCCCAAGGACCAGGGTGTGGCCGAGATCCTGAGGCCTGGTACTTGTAGGAACTCAGAACCAGTAGATCAGAGGTGTAGGACTACAAGAGATCCTAGAGTATTAGTCCGGTCCCCTGCCTTTTGCTGGAGAGCTTTCTTCCCTTGATGAGCTGTAGAGCCACTATTTGACCTATTCCAGGGTTATTCCCTGATGGTCAGTGTGCCGCATTATGTCTGACTCTGCTCTCTCCTAAAGTAATGTTTCATTTCTTTTGACCCTCGTGGGAATTGGAGACTGCCCAGTATCTGCCTCGTTTTCATCTTCACTGTCCCCTAGACTGGACTCTTCTTCTTTGCCAGGGATCAGCCAGGCAGCTGGCCGCTTAAGGTCTGCTGATGTTATTCCAGTACCCTGGGTGCTGATGTCTGGTATAAGCTGTGCTTGATGGTAGGCTGCCCACGGATAATTGCCATCTCATTCAGTCCTCGAAACAACCCTGTGAGATGTAGGTCCTCATGTTGTCACCATGATATAGATGGGAAAAAGGCTCAGAGAGATCTGGAACTTGTGTAAAGTCACAAAGCCAAGAAGTGATGGTGGAGCTGAGATTGAAGTTGGGGTTGTCTGACCCCTGACTAGACAGTACTGCCTTGCCCTGAGCGGGGCTGGGTGATCATTGCTGGGTGCTGTGATGTCTGAGGCAGGAGTGACTGCTCACCTGAACTCGAGGCCCCATGTTGCTGTCCACTTTTGGTGGGATCCCGCCCTGCATGTCATACACCTGATTTGTGAACCATGATAAAGACCTTGACCTGGGCAGGCCTGCTCTACTAGGTCAACTGGGCTCCTCCTTGTGGGAGACCCTTGTGCTGTAAGACAGTGGATGTCACTGAGTGGGACAGAATGGTTGCAGTATCTAATGGAAAGTGTGTTTTGGGTTTGAGTCTCAGCTCTGCCACTCATTTGTGGTAGCATGTCAGGTGTGCAGGAAACTCTCGCTCAGACTCACTTATCTAGCTTCTGTATGTGAAGCAGGGATGATTATCTTGTTTACAAGGTTTTGGTGAGGATTAGATGGTAGAAATGAAAGATTTTTGGAAATACAAGTAGTGGTTAGCTTAGTTCCCAAAAAAGCAGAGCCTGAGGCGGTGCTTCATGCTTTATTGGAAGGTGCAGGGCAGCAAGGGTAAGGGAAGAGAAACCCGAGGGAGAGAAGGAGGGAAGGCACAAGGTGGTGCTTTAGTCGGCTGGACAGTAGCTGCCATGCAGGATACGTCTGGGTGAGCTCTACAGAAACTCCATGCCACAGAACAGTTTGTCAGCAGAGGCCTGGTGGGGGAGTTTATCTGCCCACCTCCTCCTGTCTTCTGTCTTCATTGGTCAGAGTTGCCTCATGGGAGTTAGCTCCCTCTTGCTCCTTGGTTGCACTACCAGAGTCCTCCAGCAGCCACTGGGGAGGCCAGTGTGGCACTTCTGTGGAGTTTGGAAGTAGCGGGAGGAGCCAGAGATATGGGGCCTGCACACACCCCGCCACTGACTCTGAGGCCCAGCAAGAGACCCAGGGCCCAGCGGACTGGTGAGGCCAAGAGCCTGTGAACTGGGACATCGGAGGCATCCTATATATTGCTTTGTGGATTTTGTCCTCACGTGTAGTCCCTTCTTATGAGTTAGTCTCACTCAGATTGCCAAGCCTCTGCCAAGACCCTGACTGAAAGTCCAATTTGGACTTTGCATGTTGATCTTTATAGCCTTCTCTGCTCCTCCACTGCCTAGCTACGGAAACAGGAGACGCTGTGGTTTTGATGGTACCTAAGTGGGAGGTACAAATCAACATGTTCGTATACCTGATAGAGAAGCGTAAGGATGGATACAGGTGAACATCGAGGTTTCAGTGAAGAAAGTCCTCCTTGAAGAATATTTTTCCATGTGATGTAGCATCTGAAGCTGGGAAACCTAGAGTCATGAGATAGGGCTGGAGAGGACCGTAGGACCATGTCATGCAGAGTCAAAAAGGCCCTTGGGGCTAAGAAGTTTGGACTTGATTCCGAGGGCAGTGGGGAGAGAGACCAAATGAGGAGCTGCGGTAAGCCATGCTGGCTGCCTTGTAGGGCAGAGGTAGGGGGGAACACCAGATGAGAGGAGAGACCAGGACAGGCAGGGGCCAGGATGGCTGTGGGAGGGAATTGGGGGTGCCTCAGACCAGGGTGATGACTGAGGCCTGATGTCAGGTAAGGAGAGTAGGGTGCCTTCCATCCTCCCCGGGGGTCAGCTTCTGGGCCTGAATGGACTTCCACGTGCCTAAGTTCCGAGGCCTCCTGAGCCTCTCCACAACTCACAAGTCCTTGTGGCTTTGGTGGTCCAGAGTTGGCCACACCACCGGGAGGCAGGGCCACTGGGGGGCGCCCTTTTCGGACAGGTTTTTGCTCCTTCACAGAAGGCAGGCAGCTTCTTGATTAGTGCCAGGCAAGACCTGCTTGTACTCAGCAAACCCATGTTCTGTCTCTAGGCTGTTAAATACATTGTTAAAATTCAAGCTGTTGCATTTGGGTTGCAGCTGGGAGCTTGGCAGAGGTTCACGCTTGATGAGGTAAGGGGAGAAGCTAAGGACGCTGCTGGTTTGCAGCTGGAAACCTCTTTTCATGGCCATTTGGCCAGATTGTAAATGTCCTTTCCAAAGAGCAGGCTTGTGGGGCCTCTGATTATATGTCTTGGAATTTGCTTGTGCTTAGAAACAGTGCTGGTCACCTGGTGAGTGAATCATTGTCACTGGGGTGTTGGTGGGCTTTGGATAACTTCCCTGTGGGGGTTCAGACTTGGGACTTAATATGCATACAGTGTCCCTTCTTAACAATCCATTATGTGGAAAAATTGTAAAATTTTTTGTTGTTGTTTCTAACTTGAACAAGTCTGTGGTGAAGCATTATTTGTTGGATGCCTGATATGGGGCAGACGTTCTAAGCTTGGGATGCAGTGCAGATAAAACTCTATGTTGGTTTTCTCCTCAGGCTTGGTGCCACTTTGTGTTTTGTTTTTCATAAAAGGAGGTTTGACATTGCCCATTTCCAGGTCTGTTCAGCATGGATTTCTGAGGGTTCCTAGAAGGGCTTTTGGCAGCACTGGACACTCGGTGGAGGTGGGGGGGAGGGGCACCAGGCATGCACACACATTCCCACCTGCTCTGTCCTAAGCAAACTCTGGGTATGGGTATGAGATTGGACTGGGGGCAAGGCAAGTAGGGGCTTCCCAACACTGTGGGACAGTCCCTCTTGGATCCTGCCTCTTCCCAACCTGACCCTGATTAGATAACTTTTTATACAAAGCCTTTAGCGTTCAGGGTCAGGATCCGGAGAAATGTTGGGACTCTAGGGCATCTCTGCCTGAGGTGGCAGTCTAGGGGCTCCTTGGGGGTACCTAGCTCTCTGGCCAGTGGAGTTATCCCCCCCTCCCCCCATCAGAGCAGGACTTCGCAGGCTCTTGGCAAGCCATTTCCCAGAACCCCATCTGTGATTCTTTGGGGCTCTGCCTCCGGGCTGGTATTCGTGGATGGGCTTAGTCTAAGCCGGATAGTACATTCCAGAGAGATAACAGCTAGTATTCATGTAATGAAGGGACCTGGCTGCTTTTTCCTGAGTGCTGTAAGGCATGAACCCTGGACAGTATCACCGGGAGGATTTGAGAGGAACAGAGAGGTGTCTCCCTCCGTTGAACTTGTTACCCCGTCTCTGAAGAGGTATGCCGCCGCAGCCAGTGACAGCAGGGGAGAGGCGCTGGGTTCCCCTCCTTCCAGCCGTGTCCGGTCTGGTCTCTTGCCTGGGCCCTGCTCTCCCACCATCCCAGCCTGATAGGCAGTTGGCTGGTCCCTCACTGTCCAGATATGACCTCTTGGCCCTGGATTTTACTGTTCCTTCTTTTCACGTATAGAAGGTGCTTTCCTGAGTTAGTTAAGCCTCTTGAGGTGTAAGGAACAGACACTACTCCCTGTAAAGGGGCTTATGTAAGCAAGACGAGGGGTCTTCAGGAATCCTGGGCTGGAGATGCAGAGGATGTGAGACCTGGGAGCAGACCTGCGGCTGGGACAGGGAGGACCTGCGCTCCACCTCGGGGCCGATGGCCTGCTCACCTTCTCCCAGTGACTTGCTTTCCTCTGCTGCCCTAACTCCATAGTCCATCCCTTAGCCTGATACTCCGTGCCCTGCAGCAGGTTCTGGCCCAAAAGCTCTTATTCTGTGCATCTCGGCCCCCAACACCTAGGGCACTGATGGGCATGCTGATGGCTCAGCAGATATCTAGCAGGGACATGAACAGAAGCAGCCATTCATTTATTCTCTCCTCCTGATAGAGGAACCCGTTTGGGGGTGGACCTTGTGGTTCAGCTTCTCTGAGCCTAACCTGGAGCCACGGTGGGTTGGAATTTCTTGTAAGGCAAGGAATGGTAGGCATGACTGTGTGTCTGATCAACCAGAGCAGGCAAAATACTGATGAACTGGCGTTAGCTCAGACGTGGAATTCTGTCAGGTAAGGCTTACATCTTGGGGAGAAGCCTTTGTATTTTCTTCATCGTCCTTGTTTTCTCTTAGTATATGTCTGGTGGGGTTTGGCTGACGTTGAGCAGGAAGAGAAGGGACTGGTAGAGCTGGGGCTCCAGCGTGCCCTGGGCTGCTGGCTGAGCTGGGAGACCATGTCCAAAGTTCCCGTTATGTACTTAGGGCTGCTGCCAGTGGGGCTTGCCCCAGCTTGTGCCTCCTGCTTTCACAGCCGAGCCTGGCTGTTTCTAGGCTGACGAGAAGCCAGAGGCTGGTCTTGCATCCATGTCAGCAGTCCAGCCCATCCCAGGGTTTTGGCCTTGCATGGCTGATTGATTTTTATATCCCAAGTGCCTAACTCGGTGAATAGCCTATGTGGATCTTCAGCAAATATTTGTGAGTGGTGACTTGCTAGTGAGGACAGTGTCTGGTGAGGTGGCAGGCAGGAAGAGCAATGTCTGCCCAGAGTGCCTGCTCCCCACACTGCCTTTGCTGTGGCCAGCTGCAGTTTTACTCCCCTCGTGGCCAGCCATCTGCTGTACACCTCATTTTGGGGGGTGGGGTCCCTGCAGCATGTTGTGTCAAGTTCTCTGTCTGTCATTATTTCTCCTGTACTTTCAGTCTTCTCGTAGGCAGGAGCTACATGTTACCTGTGGGTCCCCAGCACCTGGTACCGTCCTGACACATGTATTGGAAAGAAAGAAATAAGACAAGCAATCTGTGAAATGAGAAGGAGTGGGCCAGAATCTTGGACTGACTATTAGAAGCAGAGGGGACTGTCTCCCACACCATTCAGCCTTTCCATGTTGCCGGTGGTTATCGGGAATCTGGAGGGCAGGGGCTCTCCCAAGGGCACATGGCCTCCCGGAGCAGGGGCCAGAATTGAGCACACATCACTGGTTGCACACCCTGGCCTCTTTCCACTGCTGGTGCAGAATATCCTTAGTTTCTGTGTCCTAGGTCAGGATTTTGGCATGTTTGGTGTATCTATGTGCACATGTGTATATATCTCTTCACCTAAGTTGCTTTTTTCACCTGTTGATCCAGTGGCTGTCACTGAATGCCTTGCAGACACTGCTCTCTGTGACCATGAAACGCTGGCTGTCCACATTGCTAGTGGCCTGGTTTGGTGTCCTGGGCTGTGTGCAGGCTGAAGTCTTCACTTCTATTGGTATGTTGTGCCAACAGGACTGTCTTCTCCCTGAGAGATCCTTGGCTCAAGTGCCGGGGAATGTCACCACCCGAAGCCTGTTCTCACTCAAGGTGGGATGGCTCACCCACTGTTTTTGACCAGTTCTGGGGAAAGGGGGGCTTGTGGAGCTGCCGTTCCCCCTTCTGAGGCCCTGATGACCTGACTGTCCTTTGCTGGGAGCCAGCTGTCTCAACTGGATCTCCTCCCTGAGAAGCGCAGGCTGCTCCTGGGCTCCCTGGCCTTTCTGACCATCTTGTCCAGGGCCAGAGAGTGGTTCTGAGCAAAGAAGCCCTTAGGATGTCCAGGCCCAGGTGCCATGACCCATCCGGGTGCCAGTAGGAGAATGAGATTTGGGGCTTCTTCCTTAAGGCACTCCCAGTGCGCTCATCTCCCCCTCCCCTTGGAGTCTCCACCCCTGTCTTACGAAGCTGGGGGCCAGGACCATGTGAGTACCTAGGTCCCCTTTAACTCCCAAGTCCCCATGATCCCAAGAGAGTTGACATGCCAGTGATCCAGAGGACTTGCCTCTGCGCTGGTGTTCTGTGCCTCAAGGAAGGGGGATGGATGTCCCTCATCCATTTCTTTCTGGCCCTTTTCTCTTTCCCTGCAGGGCACATGACCGACTTAATTTATGCGGAGAAGGACCTGGTGCAATCTCTGAAGGAGTATATCCTTGTGGAGGAAGCCAAGCTCTCCAAGATTAAGAGGTATCTGATGTCCTAAGGCCCCACCCCCCAGAACCCATCCAGGGTGCCCATAAGAGGAAGCCCTTGAGAGAGCAGCGAGGGGCTGGCCTGGAGGTTACTTCATGCCAGTCCTCCAGAGTGGCTCAGTGCATGGGCTAAGGACTTCCTGCTTTTCCCTATTTAAGAGCGTTTTTGCATACATTAGAGTTCCTACCTCTTTTCTAGATTAAGGGACTGCAAGTGTCAGTGGGCAGTTGCTCTATTCATTCATACTGCCTCTTGATAGAAAAGGGAATTTCACCAGGGAAATTACCATAGGTCAAGACCTGTGTGAGTGGGTGTGTTACGTCTTCCTTTTCCTCTGTTTCCACAGCTGGGCCAACAAAATGGAAGCCTTGACCAGCAAGTCAGCTGCTGACCCCGAAGGTTACCTGGCTCACCCCGTGAACGCTTATAAACTGGTGAAGCGGCTGAACACAGACTGGCCTGCGCTGGAGGACCTTGTCCTGCAGGACTCAGCTGCAGGTGAGGAATGGTGAGCAGGTGCTTGGGGAGCTGGTGTGTCCGTGTGCTTGTGTCTGGGGAGTGTGCGTCTGAGCCTGTCACAGGTCTGCAGGTGTTGGAGGGCATGTACAGTGTGTGGATATGCACCCTGCCGGGCCTGTAGCCGTCTCCCTTCTCTGTGGGCACCTAGCAGTTGGCTGTCCTTGTTTTTAATATGTAAGAATAATCAGTTCTTGCCTTGTCCTAGTGTTTTCATTTCCTCTTTTTTTTTTTTTTTAAAGATTTTATTTATTTATTTGAGAGAGAGAGAGAATGAGAGAGAGCGCATGAGAGGGGGGAGGGGCAGAGGGAGAAGCAGACTCCCTGCCGAGCAGGGAGCCCGATGCGGGACTCGATCCCAGGACTCCAGGATCATGAACTGAGCCGAAGGCAGTCGCTTAACCGACTGAGCCACCCAGCCGCCCCTCATTTCCTCTTTTTTAAATCATGCTTTACTAATGTGTTTTTGTAGAAAAGTTAGAAAACAAAATGATGTAAGAAAATTAGAATTCTTAACCCCGTTGTCTAGTGATAAGCACTATTCAAATTCCAGTCTTCCTACGCTTGCATTTACATTACAAGAAGAAATGGACCCATTCATATAGTCCAGGGAATGCAAACTCACTTGCTTTGCGGGACCAAATGAATTAACAAAAGTGAGTCAAGTGGGCTGGGTGATGGGGCCAGCGTAAGCTGGGGATTATGGGCCTCATCTAAATCCATTCCCATTCATACCTTTTAAAAATAAAACATATCTGTAGGCAGATTTGTGCCATAAGCATACAGTGATTTCCTGAATTTTCCAGCTTCTTTAAATGTCCATTAAATGTTATACAAAATGATTTTAATGGCTACACAGTAATAAATCAAACCTATGTAGTATAAAACTGGTCAAATTAGTGGACGAGGGATTGTTTCCACATTATCAGCAATCGTGCATATACATCTTTGTGCCTACCTTTGATTATTTTTTTTTAATTCATTTTTAAATTTATTTTATTTTTTTTTTTAAAGATTTTATTTATTTCAGAGAGAGAGAGTATGTGAGCCAGCACAAGAGGGCGGGGAGGGGGGAGAGGGAGAGGGGCGCCTGGGTGGCTCAGTTGTTAAGTGTCTGCCTTTGGCTCGGGTCATGATCCCGGGGTCCTGGGATCGAGCCCCGCATTGGGCTCCCTGCTCCACGGGAAGCCTGCTTCTCCCTCTCCCACTCCCCCTGCTTGTGTTCCTGCTCTCGCGATCTTTCTCTCTGTCAAAAAATAAATAAAATCTTAAAAAAAAAAAGGAAGAGGGAGAAGCAGGCTCTCTGCTGAGCAGGGAGCCCAACACAGGGGCTCGATCCCAGGACTCTGGGATCATGACCTGAGCTGAAGGCGTCTGCAGACGCTTAACCGACTGAGCCACCCAGGCACCCTCTCTGATTATTTTCTTAGTTTAAATTCTTAGAAGTGGTATTTGCAGGTCAGAGTATGAACTTTTTTAAAGCTTTAAAGCTTTAACCGTGCTTGGTGTCTTTTACTGTGGTGGTATTTTTTATGCTCGAACATTTTCCTCTCAGCAGGAGGTGGTGGGGCAGGCATGGAGGTGGGCCCTCCTGACTCCAGCCAGCCCTGGGCTCAGCCTCCTGGACCTGCTGCCTTTTCTCCCCGAGTCGGGAGTGCTGATTAACTTTAGACTGGTTGTCTCTGGTTGAGGCAGTTCAGCCCATGTGGCCAGACTGGGCTGGGCTTGGCTGGGGGCAGGGTGGCCTCTGGGGAGGGATTGGTGAGTTCAGCCCCGCTGGAGCTGTGCCCAGTGAGCTCACCGCCTCCAGAAGTCATGGCTGCCTTTCCCAGCCCTCTGTCTTCCAGCCTGGGGCTGTAGCTCAGAACGGGCTGTTCCGCCGCAGGCATTGCACGGCGGCGGGGAGAATAAGCCTGCTGGGATGACCTTCCGCTCCCTCATCTTGCTCTCCATACCCCGCCCCCACCGTCAACATCTGGTTCTTGTAGGAAACCTTGTAATTACCAGAAGGCAGACAGGACAGGCTCAGAGAGCAATAGGTTGTTTTCACCTCTGACTTGAGAGTTCTTGCCTCTGAAATGAGGGGGACATGCTGACGGTGTGGCTTTTTCTGGGGGCATGTTTTCTTCTTCCTGAATTCCAGACTCTTAGAATCCCTGACTGGGCAGCCATGAGGAAGGCAGGATTACAGCTTCTTGATCCCTGGGTCCCTAGGCATGGTTAGAAGTGGGTGTTTGAGCCTGGGGTCCTGAGAGTAGGTGGCCGTGGGTACTGCAGCCCTGAGGAAGAGACCAGGGAAGAAAGGGCCCTGCGGTTCCCCTCCCAATTCTTAGCTCACAGGCAGCATTGAAACTCCTGAATCAGCTTGGGAGGGCCTGGCCTCCACCTGGAGTCCTGAGATATAAGAGGTGCATATCTTGCTTAAGAGCTAGGGCTTGGAGTCCCCGAACAGCCTCCTTGGGCATGTCTGAGGTCAGGGGCTGTCCTAGTTTCCAGGCTGTGGTCTTGAGCGCTACATTCAGGAAGCTCATGCCTTTCAGCTCATGGCAGGTCTGAGTTGTGGGGGTCCCCTAGAGCGCAAGACCAAGAGCCAGTTTGGTCTCTCAGGGTCCTGTGCTGGGCTTGGGCAGTCCCACTTCAATGCTTGTTCTGGCCAGATGGTCCCCCAGTCCCTAATCTGGGGGGTGGAGACAGCACCAAATCCCTCCCAAGACTGTCATCATCACCTTTCTGGATGATAAGGGCCAGTGGTCAGTAATGAGTGGCCAGGTAAGGTTCCCTGAGTTGACTACCTCTGTCCCTTGGGCTCCTTGACCTGGAATGTGGGCTGGCGGTCTGTTTATCTGCAGCCCCCCAACAGTAGTGATCCTGGATCAAGGTTTTCCATGTGATTCATTTTCCATTAAGTGATCAACAGGTCCTTCTTGAGTCTTCTCCTGTGTCCTTTTCAATTACTGTTTCTGTCCTCTGTCCCTTCTGTCTCCACCAGGGCTGACTGAGTGCTTTGGAGCCAAGACTCTCAGACTCCCACATGTTAACCAGTTTGTGGGGCGATCTTTGTTCAATCCCAAATGAGCCGTACAGGCAGTCCGTTCAGTGAGGAGGAAGTAAAGAGGACTTCATGGACTGAAGCCATCAGGGAGGACTTCCTGGAGGAAGGGGAAACTGCCTTTGAAGGAAGGGGCAGGGAGTTTGCACTAGCCAGAAACCCTCCACTGGGTACCTTTCTGGTCCCGGGGGGAATTGTACCCTTGGATCAAGGGTAACCTCTTGTTCTCACTCTCATTTGGAAGGTTTTATTGCCAACCTGTCTGTGCAGCGGCAGTTCTTCCCCACTGACGAGGACGAAATGGGAGCCGCCAAGGCCCTGATGAGACTTCAGGACACATACAAGCTGGACCCAGACACGATTTCTAAAGGACAACTTCCAGGTACCTTGCCACTCCAGGCTTTGCCCATCCAGTGGATGTGCGTCTACTAGGGCGTCTGGACAGGGTTGGAGCGACCACCGTCTTGTGGTCTTTACCCTCAGGCACACCATCACTGCTGGTGGTGATGCTCTCTTGGGTTTCCGGTTGGTGCCAGTCCCCCTCATTCACATGACAGCCACCTCCTCTCAGCCCCGCCCCTTCCCTCCCACACCCTCTCCTCTCTCTTCTCCTCTCCCCTCTCAGAGAAAGCCAAGGCTGCTGCTCAGGACCCCTTGGCCTCTGCCTCCAGAGCACCGCTCAGATCTGCTTCCAGACCTGCTTCTGTCCCCACACCCTCTGATTTCTTTTCGATGAAGGCTGATCTCTGGACTCCCTGCCCTGTGTCCTCAGTTACAGTCTCTGCCCTGTTCGTTCTTGGCCCACCGCACTTGGCTCTTCCCCCTGATCTCACACACACCATGGGTTCTTACTCATCTTACAAACCCCTCCGTCAGGACCCAAAGCCCTTTGAGTCTCTGCTGTTGATGGATCTCTTGGTTAGCCTAACCTGGCTAGGCTGCTGGACAGTCAGCCGCATGCTCTGCACTTCTTTGCTTCCCAGGTCCTCCTGAACATGCAGAGTCTGGCCTCTTTGCCCACCATCCACTGCTCCTGTCCCTGCCAGGTCACCAGTGGCCACTCAGCTGCTAAAGCCAGCGGTGGGGTTTCAGGCATAATGTCCTTAAATTTTTCAGCAGTATCTGGCACATTGAGTGTCCCAGTCTTCCTGATACTCTCCCTCCTTTGAATTCTGGGGCACTGATCTCTATTGCTTCTTTTTCTGGCTTTTCCGCTCTCATTTTTTTTTTTTTAAACAGGCCCCTTTCTTCTGATTGCCTCAGTATGCTAAGAAGAAGATATATTGGGTCTGGGGGACTGTTAGAGGCCAATAAACCCAGGGGTTCAGTTAGACCCCATTAGACTTTGGATGCCACTCGCCCATGGGGCCCCGAAAGAGGCACAAACCCAGGGAATCACAGTGTGTAGGAGAAAGAGGCAATCTGTTGTCGGCCAGGAAAGGCCTAGAATCGGGCACTGAGGAGTCTGGTGAGCCACTGGGAAGGAGTGTAGACTTCTTAATTCCTGCCTCAGTCAGGTCTTGGATCAAGCCAGGCCAGAGCCAGTGAGAGAAGGCCCCTCAGGGCACCTGCAAGATGTGTTCACGCTGTAGCTGTGACAATGGTTGTTAGGAGGAGGGAGCCACACCCAAGCATTGACGTTGTACATTCAGTTAACAGATCCTTGCATGTCCTGGAGGAGCAGGGAGGGTGGAAGGGAGTTATTCCCCAGGATTCCCTTACTTAGAGTTTTCCCTAAGCGCCTTCTCCAGGTGAGCCCAGCCATTCCCATAGCATGTACATGGATGATATCCACATCTGTGTTTCCTATCAAGGCTTACCGCCAAGCCTCCAACCAGTGAAGGCAAATGCCTTTGGGGCATCTCTACTTGGGTGTTCTGTGGACTCCTCAAAAGTCACATGTTCCAAACTGAAATCCTCATTGCCTTTTGAAATGTTTACCCTCCTCCCTCGCTCCTTGCCTGAGCAAACAGCACCTCCGTCCACTGGTAGCCCACGTCAGAATCCTAAGGCCCGTGGATCCTACCTGTCTTATGTCTTCTTCTTTACTTGGAGTCCCTGACTCCAGACTCATGGTCACTCACTTCTCAACTGGATTATTGAAATAACGTTTTGACTTGTCGTGTATCTCCAGCTCACTCCTTAAAATCATTCTCCGTGTGGTCTTAAGCACATCTCCTATTTACATCAGTTCCTGATCACAAAGCTTAACTTTTAACTGCTAAACCCAAGTTCCTCCTGTGTGTGGTCTTTGAGGTCTTGCATGGTGCCCTCTCCCGGGCCCCCTTGCCTATACTAAGTTAAGTTTGTACTAAGCTACCCCTCACCTAGCTTCCTTATCCATCCCACACCCTCTGCAGGAATAGCTTTACCCACATCAGCTGAGTCTCATGTCTGTCGATTGCTTTTCAGCACTCAGTGCTGGCACTCTCCAGAGAGTGCTTTCCAAGGGGGTAGACTTTTGATGGGCTTCTGGGGAGGATGTTGAATATGTGGGAACTGTTCTTGACCTCGGCCTCTGTGAGACATTTGGCATCCTGGGGATCATAGAAGACATCTTTACATGTCATCTCGTTGAATTCTTGCCAGGAGTTCTCTAAAATTGATGGTATTAACTCTAGACCTAAGGGGACTGCGACTCAGAGAGGCTCAGTAAATTATCCATGGGTACAAACAGCTGGTGGGTGCCATAGCGAGGCCCACACAGACCCAGCTTTGTCCAGCTAGCTCAGCTGCGGTGTTACGGTGCCTCTGTCATTGTGAGTTCCTGAGAACTGCATAGCTAAAGGAGATCTGTGGAGGCCCAAGGGATCAAGGAACCCCTTGATCCCTAGCCCGTCTACTAACTCCATCTTGTGTTTACTCTCCTCGCCTTCCTACCCCATGTTGCCCTATTGCTGCAGTATCACAGTGAGCAGACCCCAGTCTCTGAAGTACCCGACCCATTGCAGTAGGGGTTTCATTGTGGACAGAGCCCCACCTTGGACATCAGGCAGAAAGAAGCTCCTCTAAGGCAGCTCTTCCATGTCACCCATGCCTAGGTGTCTGTTAATGGGGTTAACAGAGATTCCCCTGCTTTCCAGGGAGGGTCACAGCCCTTCTTTCCTCTGCATGGGGCCTGATTTTTCATTGTTCCCTGAAGAGTACACTCATGGCCCCTCCCACCTCACCCCTATCCTAAATCCTACATTTTCCCAGAGGTAGCATACTACATCTCATCCTTCTTGACTTGAGACTATCTTCAGGTCACTTTCCCATGCCAGGCCCATGGCAAATAACCTGTGCTCATAGGACCTGCAGAGTTGATGCTCACCGAGGTCCCCGCCACCTAACGATCAAAGCTGGCACTGCAGTCTTGGCTCTGACCTCCCTTGGCGTCTGTTCGTGCTACCTCTCAGGTCCTGCTCAGCGTTCCTCTTTGTCCTTTCTCTGGAGGGTTCTGGCCTTAGCCATGTTCTCTCCTCTCTCTTCATACTCTTGCTGGAAGTAGTTATCCTCATCCGTGGCTTTAGCTGCCACCTAAGTTCCATTTTTAATATTTTTATATATTTTTTATTCAACTAATTTTTCTACCTTCCAGACTCCTAGGGCCAGCTGCCCAGCAGACATCTCCTCTGTGGCTCATAGGACCTTCATACTCTCCTGAATACTATTGCTTCTTGGGCTTCTTCACAACAGAGGCCCCTTCCCACATGGGAGAAGGGGAGTCTGTGGCCAGGAGATTGGCTGTGAGCCCCAGTCTGAGGCAGGCCCAACCTGGTTGTGCTCACTTGGAAGTGCATGGCCTGAAGCCCCAGTGGGACTCTGCTGGGATGATGCCCCCCTTCCACTGGCTCAGGCTTCCTCACTGTGGGAATCTCTCTCCATAGCCCAGAGGCTCTTTAGAGCCTGACTGTATGCCCTTCCTGCTGCAGGAACCAAGTACCAGGCCATGCTGAGTGTGGATGACTGTTTTGGGATGGGCCGCTCTGCCTACAACGAAGGTGACTATTACCACACAGTCCTGTGGATGGAGCAGGTGCTGAAGCAGCTCGATGCTGGGGAGGAGGCCACCATAGCCAAGGCTGAGGTGCTGGACTACCTGAGCTACGCTGTCTTCCAGCTGGGTGACCTGCACCGTGCCCTGGAGCTCACCCGCCGCCTGCTTTCTCTTGGTAAGGAGGTTCTAGGGGAAGGTCAGAGCTGATGGGGGGCCGGCACGAGAGCTAGTCACTCCACCGGCCACTACCTGGCCGATCTCCTGGGACTGAGCCAGTTTGACATGTTGCTGGCCAGTGACCAATGGCTTACTGCTCTCAGGCCCGTTCTAGCTGCTGGTTAGCTCTTTACCCACCTCGTTTCTGGCCCTAGTCCTTGCCCAGTTGCTTATGGATACACTCAGACCTGTGGCCTTACACACTCCCTTTTAAAATAGGAATGCAGTGGTGCAGTGCATCCTCTGCTCTGCAGGGTGAGCCTTCGCATGGTCAGGAGCAGCTCAGGAAGCAAACCGTGCTTCAGGACTGCTGCAGTGACCATGGCCTGACCTGTTAGTTCGAGGTCTGAGGTCTTACTGGGGGACTTGCTGTGGCATTGGTGTTGTAAGGGTCTTGGACTAAAGGAGATTAAAAGCACTGTGTCTTTAAAACCTGTCTGTTCCACCTCTTACTGATAGATGGGATAATCATAGTCTGGAATGTCACAGATCAGCAAAGACTTTCTTTTGCTGCTGCTTTTCATGGGCCTTGTGTCTGATGCCCGCTACCATATGAGTGTCCTGCAAGACTGATGTGGGAAGAGAGCTTCATAGATGCTGTCATGTTAGTAAGAGCCTTGACCTGGGACTCAGGAGGCCTGGCTTCCTGTTCAGTCTAACCTTAGCCTGAATCTATTAATATCTTTGGGCCTTGGTTTCCTCATCTATGGAGTGGCACAGTAATCCTGCCAAGCTTGCTCCTCTGTGTTGTGAGGCCCACAAGATGAGGCTATGGCATTGTCATATGGTTGTTCTTTTTGCCAGGATTTCAGCCTGCCTTGTCATTGTGGCCAGCATGTGATCTGGTCACCGGTAATGGATGTACTCTAGGGAACGGATGTAAGTGACTCACAGCCAAGTCAGGAGGAGGCGGCAGGAGACTGGACTGCTTTTCTAGACCTGCACCGTTGGGCCCTCCAGGGAGGCCTGAGAGGAGAGCCCCCTGTGTGGCTGGCTATGGGACCTCCTCTGTGGCTCCTTTCCCATCTCTGATAGCCGGGAGAGCCCGTGTTGGCTGTTCAGCTCCGGCCAGCGAGCCCGGGTTAGATGCTGTGGAAAGCACAATACTGCGTGCAAATGAGCTGCTGGGAGAGAAAACCGCTTACAGAATAATTTCTCTAAATGACCTAACAGATGTTTGTGGTTTCCTTTTCCTTCTTGTTCTTTGCTCTTTCTAGACCCGAGCCATGAACGAGCTGGAGGGAATCTGCGGTACTTTGAACGGTTGTTGGAGGAAGAAAGAGAAAAAATGTTATCAAATCAGACAGAAGCTGGACTAGCCACACAGGAAAGCATTTATGAGAGGCCTGTGGACTACCTGCCTGAGAGGGACGTCTATGAGAGCCTCTGTCGTGGGGAGGGTGTCAAACTGGTGAGACGCATGGCCAGGTCCCACATGTGGACCTAGACTTCGGCTCTGGATGGGCAGCTTTAGGGAGGACGTTCCTCTGTGTGTAGGCTGTTTCCTCAGTGTCTTGCCCAGTTCTTTGTAGCATCTGCTGAGGCTGACGGGTGGGTGTTCTCTGAGGTGTAGGACGGGAGACTGTCTCCCCCGATGTCCCAGGCGGAGTTTGAATCCTCTGAGTTATTGCTGAGCTCCCCTCCCTACCGCAACATGCCCAGCTTCTGCTAGACTCATGCTGTGAGGAAAACCATGGGTGTGGATGTGCCCCATGGGAAGTTGTGGTCTCTGTCGTGAAGACGCGGCAGTAGCTAACAGCTCAGTCTCTGGTGTCACTGATTTTTTATTTATTTTTGTTTAAAAAAAAATTTTTTTTTTAAGATTTTATTTATTTATTTGACA